GGGAGTGGGGCTCCCATCATCCCCAGCCGGGGGGTTTACGAACCTAGGCTTTACTTTGGGACGGTGGGGCTGAAACAGAAACGCCCCCTCCCCCGCTCTGCCAGGGCTGGCTTGCGTATTTTATTTTATTATTTCATCACGATACTGTTTTGTTTTTCTTTTATTTCGTTTTTTAGTTTGTAGGCTGCCTGACTCCCATACGACTCTGGGCAGTTAGCAGCTAGGAACCAAAATCTATTTTAAAAAGACATAAAAGATGGACAGTCCTCAGCTAGGATTGGGGGGGGGCTGCTGGGTTCACCCCCCCCCCCACACACTGGGCTGCCAGTTCTGCAGGAACGTCGCCTTGTGGCTGGCTCAGCAAACCACGGTTTAAGGGGGCCCAGCAGCGTGGTGGTCTGGAGGTCCCCCCCCGTATTTCTTGAAGGCTGGTGGGTGGAAGATGCTGCCCAGCTCCCCTCCTCTAGAGTAAATCCCCCTCACTTCATTTTGAGAGGACACACTGAGGAATGCACAGTGGTGTTGTGGTCCTAAACGTGCTGAGAATAAATCGCCTCGGGGGGATTCTGACAACTCTCACAACACCATTAATGTTGCATTATCAAATAATAATGATCCCTGACCACAAAGCCGGGATCCCAAATTGAATAGCATAAGAAAATAAATAATCTCCCACTTAGATAGCATAAAGCAGTGGATAAATCAGGGTTTAATAGCCTTTCCTGTTGTGCAAGTTATTTTGTCATCTTTTTCTGAGATGGCTGTCTTCATTTGGCTGCATCAGGACAGCCTGGTGACCTTAGTTTGTGCTTAATACTGTTTTTATGTGCTGTTATCTTGTGTTCCACTGAGATTTTTTTCCCCTCAAATATGGCCTTGCATTTTTTAATCAGGTAACAATGACAAGTACCCCAGTAAAGTCAGATGAAAATAAAAATAAGCGTAAAAAGGAAGCAAAGGTGAGCAGTTTTAACTACGTAGCATCGTCATTGTTTAAATTACAGTAACTTCCTTTTCACTTTTGTTCTGTGTATTTAAAATCTTGTGAGGCATATACAATCTATGAGGTGGCTGTGGAAATCCATGTATGTGGAATTCTCTGCAGTAATGCTAGTTTTTTTCAACCTTCACTCTTTGTTTTCTGTGTATAGAATGAAGCTTCAGGAAATACACAGTTGTGTTTTTTTGAAAAAAATGATGGGACTCCATCTGAAAGCTCCCAGGAATTTCACAAAACTGATACTTTGGAAACAATTTTAAAGGGTAATATTTTGAAAAGGATATCAACCATTCTTCTTGCTTAAATTTACATCCAGATTTTAATTAAACAAATATTTGTATTAACAGATACAGGCAAAGAAATCAATGATCTGTTATCAAAGTATGCACATATTTTGAGGCAAGTAAATTATTTTATTTTTGACATTTTAAAATTTCTTTTTTGAACACGTATTCAGCTGTTGGTGTTTCCAGAATTGTGTTTTAGTCATTTTTATTCATGATAAAGCAAAAACAAATGAACTGTTTGCTTTGCACATTGTCACAAAATGCTTTCAGCTAGAAAAACAGATTAAAATACATGGCAGGATCTAAAATTCTTCAGTCTGTGTCCTGGGAGCCAAGCTGTACTCTTGACTATGCCCATTGCAGTAGTAAAATTCAATTAAGTTGTTTTGCTGAATGGCCTCTGTCAGCTCCAGATGTGAGTAGGAAAAGAAAACTCTCCATTGTCCAAATGGACTGTCACAATAATGACTTTCACCCAAGGTGTTCAAAGCAAAACACCAATCTCCCCACATACTGATATTACAAGTGGCCACATTTTATATAGGCAGGGCACTGCTATAATTACTTTGAGTTCAGTATTTTTTAACTAGAGTGTTGCATTTATAAATGAGAAAATATTCTTTAATACGTTCTTAACAGCTTACCTTCATTATTTTAAAACGCTTGGCAAGTGAACTGAATTGAAAACACTGATAGAAATTCTAGTTTTCTATGTAGTGGTTTTAACTACAGTTGTTTCTTTTCTTCCTTTTTGTGAATAAAGCGAGAGAGCAGCAATGGATGCTTCATATGTAGAGGAGCTTGAAGGAATCCTGAAAGAAGCTTGTTCTATAGAACATCACTTGAAGTTGAAAAGAGAGAATCTAAGGCACAGTTTTGCAGCAATTGCAGGCCCTCTACAAAATGAAGAAGGATTATCTGGCAAATGATTAAGGCACACACTTATTTGTTCTGTTGTGCACAAATAAGGGGGAAAGTCCTTTCAGCTACCATGATTCTTGTACTTCCTTTTTTATTGATTCAGAAAGTAGCCCAAAATTTCAAAACAGTATAACTTTACTTAAAAGGAGCATCAGTAATTATAATTAAATTGTAATTAAGATGCTGGTTTAGAACAGTTATATAGAATTGTTTTTCTATGGAAAGGCCTGTCAACCTTTCTCTTGAATGACAGAATGAAGGCAAATCTGGTGTGCTTCATGTAAAGCAGGTCGTTTCCAGTGAGTAGGATAATACCATACACATGGCTTATTTTGACAGATACCCAAATCACATTACATTCATTTCAATTTCTTTCATTTCCGTAGGAGAGAGTTATATGGCTGAGTCACGGTGAAACCTTGGCACATAAACCTTTAATTTTGCTTGAGTTGTATATATTATACTTTGGTAAACTTCATATAAGACTGAAAACTTGTTTTCTCTAAATAGTTTTGGGAAGTCGTGTTTTTCTTTCCTTATATTTTATTATTTTGTTCTTTTTCCTTTAGCACATTTTAGAATTTTGGTGATTTCAGCAAATGAAAATAAAATAGAAAGGAAGCAAAATAATTCTAATAATGTTCTTATTTTGCTTGTGCATAATAGGCCGCCTTATCCCAAAATAAAATCATGATTTCTTACTGATCTTCAGAAATGGGAGGATTACTTTATACAATTTGCATAGGCATTATGATTAAACGGTTCATTATATTTTCCATCTCTAATGGAGTGCACTTGTTTTTCATTGCCCTTGAAGACCTAGCTGCTACTTTTCTTCCCATAATCTGCTTTCATGTGTTAGTGGGTTAGGACTGAACATTCATTAAACTGGAAGCTGCAATATCTCATCAGAAGAGCTTAGCCGTAATTCCTTATCTTCAAATCTTTCCTATTCTGTTTAACAACATCCCTAGTGAAGCATCCCTAATAGATTAGAAAAGTTGCTCCAGTTTTCACAGTCCAGCGGTTGACAACAACCTTAGATAAAATGTGCTGGATATTGTTGCCTAACCATGTGGGGTTAACAAGGGTTTTGATAGCTGTAAGCCGCCCAGAGTCCCCCATTGTGGGGAGATGGGCGGGGACAAGTCTATTAAATTAAATTAAATTAAATAAAAATAGTGCCCCCCCGCCCCCGTGTCTATGAAATGCCCTGTAATCAGTTCCATACAATACAAGGGTCAGGCGGTTGGTTTTTCCTTTTCTCTTCTCGTTGGAGGGATTTTCGTTGCTGTAGGGCAGTGTTCTCTCCTGTTTCTCAGGATTTCAAATTGCAGAAGTGCAGACAAACACGCATTGCCTTCAAACTGCTTCGGAGAATTTGGGGAGTGACAATATGGAAGTGCCTGTATCAGACTCTTGTCGCTTAAAGAGACAGCGATTGATTATATGTCCATGAATCTTAGTAATATGAATTGATTAATTAGCCCACAATCTTGTGGAGCTTTGAGACAATTTGCTACTTCCTGCTTATCTTCTCTCTGCACTTCTGGCAAATTAGAGCTGTATGTAGAATTTTAAAGAGGAACACGTTCACCTCTTCCTGAGCGGCTTTTTTCTGCAGCACAGCTGGCCGGTTAACAAGCTCAGCTCTGTGACCTTAATTAGTTGATTTGAACCCTCCTGCCACTGTATCTGCTGCCTGAAACTGACCAGACCTTAATCAGTTTCACACTGAATGCTTTTATTGTCAGGCCTTGTGCATTGGTGGAAAATGATTTTTTTATTATGTCATATTTACGAATCATCGCTAACCCTGGTAGTCACTAGACAAGGGGTGGCTGTAGTCCATGTCGAAACATCAGGGGAGAAGCTCCCTCAGCTTCTTTTGAGCAAGAATCCAAGACTCTAACCCCGTACACCCAAACTTGGATCAAGGCAAACAGAAGGGCTTCTGTCCCCATCTAGCACGTACTTTACAGCAGACAAGAAAGCCTTTGAAGGAGAGGCTCCTCAGAGTATGATGCTTTCAGCTGCGTGAAATGGGAGGAGGGAGTGCAACATATGCCCCCCTGAGCTCCTGAACAAAAGGCAGGGTATAAATCTAACAAGTTTTGCCCTTAGTTTATTAATGTCCCAGCTCTGGCAATACTGAGGTTTAGCTGCAATAAACACGGAAAAGAAGGGAGAGAGTTGAGGGAAGGCTTAGGGAGGATAAAGGACATGAACGGTTTGGGGAAGAAGTTCCAAATGTTAGTTCCTGTTGGTCCTGGTCTGCTCTAACAGACTAGAAGAGAAGGAGCCCTGGGCAAAAGTAAAGATGGGGATTGCAGCCTGAGAGAGCTCAAACAGCAACATTTTTCCCCTCCAGGCATTATTTTTAAGTGCTCTGCTTGCCTCAAGGAATGCTTTACCCACACCAGAAGCAAACTAAGAGAACTGCTTTGATGTTCGTCGGAGGAAAGTTAGATGCTCACTGACTTAGCATAGTAGACAACGATACTCCACAGGTTGGTGGCTTTCTTCAGGAACTTTTCACTGGCCAACTAAACCAGTTACCCTGTGGGTTAACAGGGAACATTTGTTTACAAGTTACACCATACTGCAAACTAGCCTGCTGCACTTGAGTCTAGTGCCTGGGCACACCCAGCATGAGTGGTTAGTTAATAATTGAGTATGATATGACCAGTAATATTGAATTAATTCAATAAATCATGGTGAACGATGAGGCAAATAGAGGTGGAGTCTGAAGGTGGAGTCATCTGAAGTTGGCTTCATGTCTACACAGAAGTTTACCTTTCTTAGGCGCACCTGACACGGGCTGGAGAGAAGTTTCAGCTGGACCCGTTGCACAAGACTGCCGAAGCAGCCATGCAGCAAGGGGAATCGGAGCCTCCAGGACCCCCACCCCAGCTTTAGACCTTTGCCTGCAGATGAGCTAGTTGTCTGCTTTTAAAAATGGAAGGAAAAGTCTCTTCCATAAAATATAGTGAGCTTTAATTTTTTTGGATATTTTTCTAATTCATAACCAATCTCATTGGAAGTCTCTCAATTTAGGTATACAATAATTCTGTTTCTCCTCCCCCCAAAGGTGATTTGTACAAGCTCGACATGAGAGATCCTCCGCCCACCGACTCAGTTTTGTGCAACCTTATCCCTCCCAATCTTGCTCAGTCCTGAAAGGGGGAGGCGGGCTTTTATTGTGAAATGTTGCGCTTGGCCAATGTACATTCCACCCGTGCCCTGCACCTCTTTGGCACAAACAGCCATCTCTGGCGATTGGGGACTTGCTATTTTCTCTGAGCTCAGCATTGTGGAAATGCTTTCCCACGTCTTTTCTTTTGTTGGCTTCCTGCTTCAGAATGTGACTCTTGCCCTTTGGTCTTTGCTCCAGTATATCCCAGGTAAGACAGTTTTCTTCCAATCTCCTGCTAGTGGTAGTTTAAAAGACAAAGAGGTCCTCGAGTTGGGCTTGAATTGTGATGATTCATGCAGTCGTCTTGGGAGCAACATGGAAGTGGCACATGGCCTCCATCTGGGTGGTTCCCCCCGCCCCCCCCCCACACTTCCTAGTTGATCTGACAGTCTTGGAATTAGCTTTTTCAGGATCAGCTAAGAAATGAAAATGTAAAGCAGGAATGTTGCTATGCAAGAATGATAGATTTTGCCCAGAAGAAATTGTTCAAAATATGAGACACTCAACTGAATGTTTTATCTACTTTTCCCAGTAGAGAAATATGAGAATATTTGGCAGTCTACTAGGGTGGAATGCATACGTGGGCTCAGCCAAGAGCAGTGTTGTCCAAACTTGGCCACTTTAAGATGAGTGGACTTCAACTCCCAGAATTCCCCAGCCAGAATGAGTTGAAGTCCACTCATCT